AATGTATTTACACATATAAGAGCAGCAACACTGAACAAACACATTGGCTTCAAAGTTTAAAACGGCAAATCATTTTACCAACAAATCAGCGCAAGGATCACAAAGACACCAATTAACAAAAAAAGATTCTTCAAAACATTGTCAACCTGCTGCCTTTGACTTGCCGGCTGAGGGAATCCATGAGCATGGCCCCCGTGAAATGAACTGAACCCATAAGGGAAACCAGAAGTTGTTCCATACACAGTAGCATCCGGGAACCCATGATAATGAATGTTAAGCAATGACGGTATCAGACCACCAAATGCAGTGGCCAATGTGAAGTTACCAATCCTCGCAGTTGCCATTGGTACAAATCCCCCCATGAATCCAAAGCCATAATTGGTAAACTGATTGGTCTCCGGAGGAGGGGCAGTTTGAGGCCTCTGCCCAGCTGGGCGATTTGGAATATTGATGCCTGGATATGACTTTGATCTTGGATCAGTTTGCATCTTGCCCCTACCATAAAGAGGAACCAACTTCTCCTCTTGTACGAGGGCCTTGCAAACCGGGCATTCTTGGGAATGCGAGTGATGGTGGAGCCATCTGTACAGGCAAGGCCAGCAGAAGAGGTGACCACAAAGGGTTATGATTGGGTCTTGGGCTAAGTCAAAGCAGATATTGCATTCAAAATCGCCAACTTCATTGGCATTATTGCCCGAGCAAGACGGGCTTTGGGGTGGCACGCTTGTTGATTCCCCAAAACCACTTGCCATCTCAGTACCCACAAAACTTCGAACAGCAAATACCTGTAGTTTATGGAAATATCACTTTTTTTTTCATTAATCATAGAAATCGATTATTATTATTACAAGAAAACAGATTCAGATACAGATGGAACACATAAAATACATACAGATACAGAGCATATTCAGATTGTTCAGAGAGATGCTCAAACTATCACAAACCAATAAATAAATTAAGCACAAACATATGAACTATTCAATTTCCAAGAAAAAAAAAGGGAAAAACACAAAATATTTATCATTTAGAATGAAATCGATGAAAACCCTAAACTGAATCCCTGAGCAAGATTAGATCTCCCAGAAACAATTCACATAAAATAAACATACAAAATCTGGAGAAATATAAGATCATAAAAATATTCAGAACCCAAACCGACTCACTAAATTATAACCGGTCAGATCAGAGAAAAGAACAAAAACTTAAGCAAAAGGACCACACAGATCAGAAAAGTTGAGCAAATTTATTCAGTATATAAAATCCAACAAACAAAGAAACAAATAAAAACCCTAGAAATCATTCAAACCCAAACAAGAAAAGGGAAGAATAATAATCAAATCAAGGTAACAAAACAACTGGTCGAATATAAATTACAGAAAGAAAAAAAACTAAAATTTACCTTTTCGTGTGTAAAATTTGATTGGGTCTCGTTACGAGAGAGAGAGAGGGGCAAAAGATGAAGTGTTCACTGGAAAGGAAAAGTCTAGTTCTAATATTAGGAGGAGGCAACCGAGAAACTCTCTATTGTGGCAAGAAGAAGATTCCAGGTCTTTTTCCAATTTTGCCTTTATCTCGTCTTCCACGCTGGCGGGCTGCCCTGCCCCTATTAAACTTACGTGCGTCTATTCTATTTCCCACCAAACTGCGGATTCCATCGACGGGACTACCGGTATTTCTAAAGGCTTTTACAAGCCCGGCCCGTTAGCAGTTGAGGCCAATGTCCAAATCAACAAAATAATAAATCTTGCAAGGGGTTTGTAGTTTACACCTTGCATCCGAGGTTCTGTGTTCGAATTTTTCTTTTTAATTTTGATTGTGAAAAAAAATATATATATTTCTTACAGAAAAAAATAATAAATAAAAAAATTCTTGTGGAAAAATAAAAGGACAATTAAATATTGCTTCTTCTTTTTTTGTTCGGTTCATAAACATTAGTATTGGAAGTGTTTTTATTAGAAGTAGGTTGAACTTTTTTAATTGAAATTGAAATATATTTTTTAGAAAATAAATACTTGGAAGTGGTTCCATTTAGACATTCAAAAAATGACTTCTCCAATTCCAAAAATTTGAAAACTCAACAAGACACCCGCCATGTTAAATTAAATTATTATACTATTATATTAGTGTTGATTTGTTTATTACTTTTTAGGCACAATAATTGAAACTGATAAAAAAAAAATCACAAATGGAGAATGTTATTCCACTTAGAATTTAACATTTCGACTGGAGCGAGTTTCAACTATGTTTTCTACATGCTAAAAATGTCAAGTTGAATTTAATATATCCATAAAAAATGCTCTTAATACCTCAAAAAGAAAAAAAGGGCCTCTCTCTCTTTTTTGGGCCGACACTAGACTAGTTTGGTTTGGGGCCAAATTTTGATCGTCAACATGCAACAGTGCTAACCCAATTAGTCCCTTCCTTCCACCTCTTTAATTGAGCAGGCCTAACCTTAGCACCTCTTGCAGCCGAAAGAACTTTGTCTCATTTTAACAGAAGCTGAAAGCCTGAAACTACTAAAGAAAACCAACTGACTGATTCAAAATCTGTCGTCCCAAATACCAACTATCAATTAGCAAGACGCAGCCATTATGGACGTTTGAAATTTGGTTAGTCCAAGACCCAAGACCAACCTTTTTCCTTACTTTTTGAATCCAACTTGACATCTTTATACAAACCAAATTTGTGGCTGTCACAATCTGATCAACTTTACCATTTTTTCTTTACTGGCAGTTTTCATCAGGAATTTGAGTGGTACTTACTCAAAGTATATGGTTTGGCATGAAAGCAACATTTTGTTAGTATTGATCTTTTGCCTAACTTAGATTGAGGAGTGGTTCTTCTGTGCATTTGTCGTATACGACATCACACTGGTAAGAGTGGGACTATTAATGAAGTTGCGTATGATCAAAATATAAGGTCATCTCCAACTATGGGTCATAGGCCATTTTTAGCTCTCAAAAACATGTAAATTGAGGGATCTCATTCTAGAAAAGATGCATTGCAAAGTTGCAATAGTAAAGTGTCATTTGACAGTTACTTTCAGACATTAAAAAGAAAATTGCATAGACAAACAAATGCAATATTAAAATGGGTGGGTGGGTTGACCCAAATTTCCACATCAAGGAATCCACATCTTGTGCAATGTTAAACGTGATGGAACTTGCTACAATTTTGGCATCTCCTTTTCACCTTCATTGCCTCCACATGATGGCCCAGAATGATCAGTCACGGCTGCAAAGAGTATCCATGAGCAGTGCATTCAAAGAATATTGGTTTTTTTTTCTTTCTAGAATGTAACATTTTTGATATAACTGTATTTGATTAACGGTCTTGATCAATAGTATTAAATCATAGAATAAGTTACTATGATGCATATAAGAAGGGATGAGTAAAAGCCGAACCAAACCACTCGGAGCGATTTGATTCAGTTTTACATGCAAACAGAAAAATCATTATGTTATCAGACTATAAATCACAACCTCAACCGAAATGTATGTAATTTACCAAATAATAATGCCTTTGAAGCACCTTCTTCTTCTTTTTACATTAGCCAGACTACAAAATATCAACGATAATATACATTTTCTTAATGCATGAAAGCATGGATATGGCCTTAGAGCCATTATCTGATTACGACCACGTCACTTATTACAAGAGAGTAGAGGACCCCATGCCATTCGTCACGTTCAAACTTTTGAGTGACAAACAAATTGATTGCAACTTAGGAAAGTAGGCAATATGCAATTTATTTATTTAAAGTATCTATCTACTGCTCTCCATGAGGGGTATCTTCAGCAAAGATGCTCTTCTTTCCAACTCCCCAAATCCATACATATCCTCCACTCCACCTGCCAATTTGTCATATAAATCCAACAAATTAAGAAACGGAAAAAAGGCACGCATTAACTTCTCCACCCACAAAATTGTGCAATCCAAGCAACGTAACATTGCTTCCACGAATTTTATCCGTTCATGCATTGTAAGTACCACATATAATGGACATAAGCGGTTTTTGTGAATTCTATCCGTTGATGCATTGTAAGTACCGCATATAACAGATATAAGCGGCTGATATAGCACTTCTCGTATGACCTTGAGGATAAAAAAGTTAGTAACATCATATGTAATATGTGCACATCTTTCAGTGTCTAATCGGATCATTTTTCCGAATGCTGCCACACCAACAAAATGTGGTGGATGACTTTTCTTCTGCTGGATGGGGTCTATGCAGTAGTGATGACCAAAACGTGTCCCATAAACTAGTATGCTTTTAATAGATGCTTTATTTGCCCGAACTTTTGACATGTCCGTTGAACCAAGAAAGACCTTACAAAGCATCAAAATCACTTCGACCAAAAAGACAAAAGGAAAAAATCAAAAATCAAAAATCAAAATCACGGCGGTGATGAACATCAATCAATAAAATCACCCCTGACGACTACTCACTCTCATAAATATATGAACCATAAAAGTAAAAATGGTCCCCATAACCCCCCCAACACCAATCTCAAAAATATCTTCCCAATTATAAATACATGTACACATACTTCTTATCATTTTTACTTGGGGGTTTAAAATTCGAGTCCCCCCTCATTCATTAATCAAAAGAAAAATATGTGTATCTATTTCCTCGTAGATCACCGAAGAAATGTGCTATGTTAGAGTAAGTTGTGCGTGAATGCATAACTGATTTGTAGTTGTTGATGTGTATCATGCTTACTATAGGACGCATAAACTTCTATGAAAAGAAATATGCTATGCGGGTAAGTTGTGCGTGAATGCATAACTAATTTATAGTTGTTGATGTATATCATGCTTACTATAAGACGCATAAACCTCTATGGTTAGATATTACATGCGTGTGTGGACGACTGATTGAGTGTATCACCGAAATGAAGACTTAGTTTAGTCCTTCGCACACGTCGGAGCCCCGTACCCACCACAACACACCCACACACGTCCAACCAAACCCGTCCACGTGTCTTCCAAAACTGCAATATTTCCAACACTACTTCTTGGCTTCACGCCCGCCAGTCATTTGATTCATTTCCATCCCTTAATTTAATAACCCTACACTACTGCCTCTCGTTTCTCTCTCTCTCTCAAGAAACTAAAACAACCCCTAAAATTCCCCACCCAAAATTTCCAAAATAAAAAATAAAAAAAACCAGAAAAATGTGAGTGAACGAATGAATGAATGACTCCATGTGAGACAGAGCCTCCAGACCCACCCGCCATAGCGTGAAGGGCCGTTTCCCGTCGTTTCCAGTCCCAAAAAACGACGTGACACGTCACCTCCACCGTCTGCTCCGTCCCCAACCCGGCAGAACCAATGTCGGGTCAACCCGTGATCCAGACCCTAACATTCTGGCTCTCGGAGCACCCATCCATCGTCGGCTTCCGCTGGAGCCACGCCCACTCCTGGGGTTCTACGTGGTCCTTCCTCTTCACCGCCATCGCCGTCTACCTCACCCTCTCCCTCTTCCTCCACTTCTCCCTCCTCGTCGTAAACCGGTCGGGTCGACCCGTCCCGCTCGGGCCCATACCCGCCGTCCACAGCCTCGCCATGGCCCTAATCTCCTTCACCATCTTCGCCGGCATCACCCTTTCCTCCGCCGCCGAAATCCGCGAGACCCGGTGGTTCTGGCGCCGCTCCAAAACTCCTTTCCAGTGGCTCCTATGCTTCCCGCCGGGGGCCCCCCCTCCAGATTCCCCCACATGCTCCGCACATTCTTCACGATCCTACGACGTCGTAAGCTCGTCCCTTTCCAGCTCTTCAACCACTCGATCTTGACCGTGATATCGTTCCTGTGGCTGGAGTTCTCTCAGTCGATCCAGGTTCTGGCGATACTGTTGACGACGCTCGTGTACTCGGTGGTGTACGGCTACAGGTTCTGGACGGCGGTGGGTCTGCCGAGCGCCTGCTTCCCGGTGGTCGTGAACTGCCAGATTGCGCTGCTGGGCTGCAACGTTGCGTGCCACGTCGGTGTTCTGATGCTACATTTCATGAGAGGCGGGTGCAATGGGATCGGGGTATGGGTGTTCAATTCGGTGTTGAATGGGGTGATTCTCTTGGCCTTTTTGAATTTTTACGTCAGAATTCATCTGGGTTTTGATAAAAAGGGAAGGACCCGCGGCGGCGAGATTAAATCTGTGGCTGGTGGCCGGTCTTGTTCTTCTGGGTTGGGAGGGAAGGACAAGGAGGGCAAGGAGCTTTGATAGTGTGGGTTAGAGTGTATGATAGTTTTGGTGGGGTGGGGTTGGGGCTTGCCTTTTTAGATTTTCTGTAAAAGGGTCTATAAAGTTGAGTTAATTATGTATACATTTCTTTTGATAAATCAAAAAAAATAAAAAATAATGTATACATTTACAATGGAGGTAAAAGTAAAAGATGAGAGTTCTCTCATTAGATTTTCCTTTTTCTTTTTTGATACCTGATATGATTATGTTTCTCATGATTGATCAGTAAAATCTTTTGATGGGAATTCATAAGAGTAGTGGCCTCTTAATATTACTTTTTGGTATTTTGATTGTTTGTGATATGCAAGTAGGATGTGTAACTAAATAGAATGCTGAGGTTATATATATGATCATATCATTTGCCAGGTTGTTAGATGAATCTTTGCTGCAATTGTGTCTAAAATGGTTCAGTTTATAAATGGTAAGAAAGGATTCTACTCTCGTATCGGAAAGCATCGATGCTAGGATAATACGTCATGAAGTTTCAAATAACCATTTGATTTGATTTAGCGGCTCTCAGTTTTCACTTTGTTAAAGTCTTGCGAGCAGATGACAATTGTTTAGAAAAATAAATAAGGCCGGAGAGAGAAAATACTTTAGATTGGTGTTGTGTGATTATTTTGTTTTGTAAAGTAGTGAAAGGATCTTAATTTACCAGTCTCCAGTCCAAGACGGATGACGTCCTACGTTGTTCTATCAACTTATTACAATAATATTGGTTCAATGGTGTTGAAGCCCAAAAAATCCAAGGGGCTAAGCCCAAATTAACCCTTAGCCCAATATGAGTGATTGGATGCAAAATAAGCTCAATTGGGATAAAAGAAAATTTATAAGAGCCGCCAACACAAGCTACAAGCTACAAATCATGCTAAACAAGCACGTGCAGAAGGAGCCAACAACATACTGATATTACTAAATCACGATCACATGCTCATTCGGTGCTACTTGGCCCAACTATAGCCTATCACAGCATAATAAAACCCAAAGCACGAGCATAGAAATCATGCGCATTCTAATAC